TTCAAACTGGTTACCATCTTCATCGCTCTCCTCCATGTACACAGTCAATAATCTTCTTGAATTATTGAGCATAAAACTGGACACACTATTCCAGGTAAAGTCTAACCAATCTAGAATAAAGTAGTATCATGACTTCCCTTGATCTGGATACTATATAGGTATTGATGTAGCTCAATACAAATTCTTTTTTTTTTTGAGGCCACATCACAAAGTTGGTTCATGTTTAACCTGTGACCCCCATATTCTTTTCAACACACTATTACCGAGATAGGTGTCACCCAGTCTATATTCATGCATATGATTTTTTTTTCTTGTCAGAATGAAGAACTGTAGATTTTTCTCTGCTGAAACTCATCTTTTGTTCAGTTTTCCAATCTGTTCAGGTTATTTTGAATCCCCACACTGCTTCTCTCCAATATGACAAGGAACATCAAGCAGGACATGAAGGCAGTACCTGCAGGGGAAGACAGCTGCTCTTCATCAACCGGCAACTGGTCTAAAAACCATGCTCCAAGACGTATTCATTGTGAACCTGGAGGTTGCAGATAGCCAAAAAGGAGCTACTTAGAGAGACAATTCTTCTACGAATTTGTTTCATCCATTCTAAATCCATCCAAGCCAACAGATATCTTGTGGGAGTTAATTAATTATGCAATGTGTGAATAGGTGCTTCTTTTTGTCTGTCCTCAATCTCCTGCCAATCAGTTTAATTGGATGACCCCTGAGTTCCAGTATCAGGTGAGAGGGAGAAAACAACGGATGTAGATATCATCATTTCGTCTAACAGATAAAACAGCACTGGTGTGACAGTTGCTTATTCTCTCGCTATTTATTTCCCATTTGTTCACAGGTTCCAACAAACAACCATAAGGAACAACAAAATGGAGGAGAATCTTTACAGGTACTTGAGTAGACATGAAAGAAACCACAGGACTGGCAAACATGTCAATTTGCATATCTGTATCTCATTTTCATCCCTTGGTGGTCAGTTAGTATCAAAGATAAGTGAGCAGCTGTGTTTTTCCTTCTTAAATTGGATACATACGCTGCTGGCTTTTCTACTTTTGAATTCCTGAAGAGCACAGACACTTTACTATAGAAAGAAGTGACTGCGTAGGCACAGTTGGAACATTCATAAAAAGATTAGAGTGGGAGGCTTGATGTAGTTCATTTAGTTTCCAACAAATTTAAGTTCTCCTTTAAGCTAGAAATCTTTCAGCACTAATAGCCCTCCCCACACAATTTTTGTACTCCTGAGTTTGGGAAAAAAAATTTTCATGTATCAGAACAATATTCCAAAATATTTACTGGTATCTTAAATTCCCTTGGGATTTCATAGTCCACAGCAACCCCCCCCCCAAAAAAAAACACCTCTTACTGTATTGCTCTACTCACAAAACTTAGATGATGCAAGTGACTGCAGAATTATAATTGGTAATACTAGAGACTATCCAAGGCAAAGTATTAAAGGCTGAACAAATAATTGAGTCCTCAACAAACATAAATCAAACAGGCTCTGAGAACAGCTTGTTAAATATCATTTTTGTTCTGTGTACAATGGTGCCACCAACCCTAGATTTCATAATTTGCAACTTGAATTGGTAGAAGTACACAAACCAAGTATGTTATAAACAAAACAGATCATGCAGTAAAGTTATTGTGCAACTTGGGGTCTTAGCTCCAAGACTGACCTACAGCTAGTGAACATGTCTGTGATGTTTACCCTGTGGCCCCTGCTTATTTCACCAAACACAGAGTTCCCACGAGTATCCCAACACGCCCTTTAACACGCTGCCACCAGTTGATCTCTTTATCAACCTATATTTCCTATGAAAGCCTGAAGTCAGTTCAGTACTGAACTTTTAAACAGAAACAGGTTTATTAATTACAAGTTGTTTTAGGACTAGTTCTTAAGCACATTCTTAAACTTACACAAAGCTTCAGTATTTTACTTTAACCTCTTCTATCTTAATTAATAGAGGTCACACTCTGTCTAATCACTCCTTAAACACTCTCTCTGCCTCAAACCCCTAAACTCTTTCTCTTTTCTCTGTCTAAACTCCTTAGACTCTGACTCGCCCCTCCCTCCTGGTTTCTCTGGCTCCCCATCCCAACAGCTCCCATTGGTGCAGGCCAATACCATTATATATATAGGAAGATGCTACAATGTCCTTGAAAGGCACAAAATTATCTGTGAGCATGAACTACAATCCTTAAAGTTCTCACTAGGTACAAAATTATCTTGATTCTCAAAGACCAGGCTGCTAGAGCACGGCAGGATCTAATCAATGGATAACACTTTGAGTACAGCCATGGAAGTGAACTGTGCATCTCTTATCCAAGAACCATCCTAGCTGTGAATGAAGACTTGTTACCAGAAAGTGGAAAACAGGGTAGGCACAGCAGCATACTAGATTGAGGAACACCTGGAGAGCTGTCAGTAGAGACAGAGCGACCAATGGTTTAATGCTATATAATGCAGCTGGTTTCCAAAGTTCTTCCTGAAGAAAATCTTCACAATGTAACAAGAATTTTTTGCATTTCAGTAGGCTTTTCTCCTTATAATTATGACAATTCCATTCTAAAATCCAAAGCAGAAGCTTACATAGAATATTTATGAAAAATACTCACACACCACTGCCTCAGTTCTGCACAGAAAGGACCATACTTGCATTACACTGATTTCAGTCAAACAAAACCAACTGTATACTAAATTGTACATCACAACATAAACATCAGTGTACAAGAAATTTAATACTGTCTCAGTTCAACCTATTATAAAAGTGAAAGCAAAGTGTGCGGCTTATATGTTGTCCCATAGAGCTTAAAGTACTCTGGGTGGCTTACAATTAATTATGGAGGCTATACGTGCCCCCCTCCAGAGCTGGGTACTAAATTTACCAACTTCAGAAGGTTGGAAGGCTATGTCAACCCTCAGCCAGCTACCTGAGACTGAACCCAGGTTTTGAGCAGAGTTTTGGCTGCAGTGTTGCAGTTTAAATGCTGCTCTACGAGGTTCCTTGTGTTAGCCTCTGTCTCTGTTCCAGTAATTCTTTATTCTTCCTCTGGCATGTAAGAAATCACAGACTAATAATATTCAAAACCACAGAATAAAGGAAGAAAGGAATAAAAATAAGTGAAGTCTAAGTTAAGCCTTCTGTGGCAATTCCACTGAATGTGAATTTTTAATCTCCAGAAACAGGTGTTGATTACAGTGAGCTGCATTTCACTAAAATAATCAGATGCAGCAATTTCAACAGCAACATTTTCAGCTAATAATTCACTAAACAGCCTATTGTTTATGGATGCATTGACAGTGACTGCTTTATTACAAACCATCAACAATGTCTATTACATTGTGTTGCTTAGTCTTTATGACCACCAAAGATACGTATGTATCCTTTTTTCTTTCTATCTGCTCAGAATTTTGGCTGTGCTAGAATGTTTCAGAATGTTTCTTGTTTTACAGTGTTTGTATACTGCTTGAAGTGGCATTTTATGGCTAAAGATATAGCACAGAAAATAAAATATTTGAAGAATTCACTATGCCTTGTTGGGATGTTCGGAAGATTTAACTTTGGACGGGAGAGCATAAAGAGTTACTGAAATTTCACATTAGGGAGTGATGTTATGAATCTGGTACAGGTTCTCAATACGTTATTTGACCCACAGAATAGTTGCAGGTAACACTACTCACAGAGGTATCCTGCAACTGATTACATGTTATAGCTATTTCAATATCTAGTTCTCATAACCATGTGTTCTGGAAAGCACAGCCCAATTCAGATGTTACCTAATCTAGCATTTTCTATATGCACAACCCCAAACAAGATCTATTCTGGACATACAAAATGGAGAATGTTTTTTGTGGCGAAAAGCGATATACTTGTCAGCATTAAGATCAAGGCAAACAAAAAGAGTGAAGACAACAGGGTGGGGTTTAGTTTTAAATTAATTTTTTTGTTTTAACTGGAGCTGCTTATAATCTGTTATCATTTTTCCTTTGCTTCTTAAAAATGCAAACAGTTCCTCAACAAATTGGGTTTCTCATGTCCACTTTTTAGACCTGAAGTCCAATTCTGAGCAAGATTCAACACAAGGGACAACCATGCTTATAACAGGCACGCTGATAAGAATGGGTTTTGCAAGTCAACAATGAAAGGAAACTCAACAATGCAATAGCAAAACTCTAGCACAAAACCAACAAAGAGGCCTGTTTATGTACTTTCCTCAAAAGCCATTGTAATGCAGTCAAAATCCAGCAAAAGGAATCAAAGACAGAGTACACTGCTATCTGTGTGCCACACACTTTAATTATAATGCTAAAAAACAAATTTTGTCATCAGAGCATATACTATCAATTTGCTTAATGTCACTATGTCTGTTATGCACAACTCGACATTCCATTTTTAGATTCCATTAAGAATGGAATAGTGTTCATCCTTTATATGTCACGGAGGTATTAGGCAGAGAAACAGTGCCACCTCATGGACAGTCACTTTTTTTAAAAAAAATCCCAACCCCCAAACACACACCTGTTTCAGGAACATTGAACCTTTATTAAAACAAAGCCATGTCAACATTGCACCAATGCTGATCAAGTATGCTATTAAAGAGTAAAACCTAAAATTTACTTAAGAAACAACACAACTAAAGCCAACTAAACTCCAACACCACCGTCAAGAAACACTCTTCATTCATCTTCAAATGATGCTAATTATTGTTTATGTAATTACAATTGCTACATAAGTCCTGATTTCTGATATCCGCATTTCTTATCCACCACTCTATGTTACCACTTAAACAGACACTAGACTTTCATATGCTTAATGCCGAAAACTTTTGACAACCTTCTGCAGCTCAACAGCGTTAACCATATGCATGCTCTTTGCACAACAAATCTGCCATCAAGTTCCTGCTTCATCCAAAAACACATAGAAGCACATCAGATGAATGATATCAATGGGCTGGAGAAAATCATAGAGACAGAGATTACTCACACCAGTGAAACTATGTCTCCACGTTGGACTTCATAATTTCGAATACTCCAGTGGTTTAAAAGCACTATGTCACATATCCGTGTTTCTTCTGGATTCAAAGAAGGCTACAAAAGAGGGGAGAAAATTAGAGTTTTACTGAATGAAAAATAAATAATTCAATTCAGCATTGAATGATCTTTAAGCACAGATGTACAGTACATGGGAAGCAGGAGGAGGGAGGCAGGCTTGGTCCTCCAAATGTTTTGGACTCCACCTCTCAGAAGCTCCAACCAACACAGCCACAGGTAAAGGATGTGGGAATTACAAGCCAAAACATAAGGGGTGGGGTGGGATTGAAGATTCCCATCTCTAACTGAAACAATAGTAGGGGCTGATAGAGCACTGACAGAGCAATCCGACAGAGCATTGACACATTATTTTTTAAAATTACAGTTCCTATAATGCTCTAGCACACAAAACTAATTTCTCCAGGCTCAGCTATTTGAGAAATGGACCAAACAAGATATAATTTCCTTCGACTCCATTCCTTCATAAGCAACTGTAACCCTCATGAAGCTATTTTCAAGCTCAGGCTATTAAAGAGACAGTCCCATTGTTTGTCAAGGAGAATCAACAAGAAGGAGACACAAGAATAACATATGTGATCTCTGTTGCTGAGCAATCCCAGGATTCCTCAGACCTGCATCTTATAGACTAGGACTCCTGGTGTTCTGGAAACCAGAAGAAAAAAAAAAACACACACACACACACACACACACACACACACACACACACACACACACACACACACACACACACACACACACACACACGACTTAGTTTAGTGACATGTCACCTACCAAAATTATATATATATTTAAAAATAGACCTTGTTATGAGATGGTCCTTTTTTGATACCTCGTTGAGTAGAAATGGAAGTGGAGTGGAAATGGGGAGGAAATTGGGGGGGGAAAGCAAGATATAAGCTGCAAAAAGCAATTCGAAGCCACTGACCAGAGGCAAGGGAAGCAATTTATCCCCTGCCAGTTTATCTCAGAAAACCAGTATGTTCATCCCTTTGAACATTTAACCTCTTTGTACCTGGCAGGACCTCTACAGCCTCCTTCACTGTCTTGTGGGGTCATTTTTCTTAAATACAGGCAAATCAAAGGGGCTGTCAGAAAGCTAACAGGGCTGCACATGAGACAGACTCCTATGTTCCTAACTACCTGAGGGTCTTTGATCCAGAAGACACTTTTGTCAATGGGATGAAGAGGGTCTCCCAAACTCCTTCTTCCATTTTCCAGACTCAAGTCTATGTATTTTGCACATAATGCAACTAATTTTGGTAGGTGACATGTCACTAAACTAAGTCAGTGCTGTGTTTGACAACACCATTTAAAAAAATGCTTCTGTGGAGGTGGATATTCTGGTTTATCTCTCACCCTGCCAACTTCACATTAGGACACACACACAGACATACACACCACCTGCTCAGATCAGTACAGGCAATCACATATGATGAACCTGAAATAAAGCAATGTCATTAAAAAGTCATAGCGCTCCCCAGCTGAGCAGAACACAATGAATGACCATGCAAAACGGACAGGCTTCTGCATGATTAGCGTTAAATCACGTAACTAGGGGGAAATAACAGAAAACTGACAGTGATAATTGTGTCAAAAACCACGGGATAAATGATGCTGTAGTCATGCCCACGGTGCTCTTTTATTTAATGTGAAAAAATGAAGATGAGTAGTTAAGTGGACCATTTGCCAGGGGCCAAGATGGCAAAGAGTCTGTGTCTTCAAGAGCACCTCCATCTTCACTTTACACTGAGCCCCTACAAACAAGTCAGAAGATAAAGAGAATTTAGAAGCCTTAGTTTTAATACCTCACCTTCCTGATGTGAAAAGGACCAACTTTGAGCATTTTAACATTTATGAAGCCTTGAATGAATGGTAGTAACAATCAACTATTATTTACACTATGAGCTCCATAAGGTATGTTCCCCTTTTAGAGCTTATTATAAAAGCAATATCCACTAAAAAGAATTACATTTTTTTTAAAAAAAAGGTGAATAAAAGCCTGGAAAAAACCCTTCAGAATAACATACATTTTCATGTCATTTATATATATAAACAGATGCAGATGGGATGGAGTGGATTTAAGAATGAACACAGACGATACAGCGATAGACTGGAAACAGACTCGTTTATCCATTTTTAGCAATCCCACAGGTGGAAAAATACCATATGACACACTCTAGGCTGATACCTCACACTGGGGGCTGAGATAGGGAAAGAAAGCAATGTGTGGAAATGTGTTACAGTTAGGAATTTTGTCACCTGTTTCTTTGTTTGTTCATTGTATCTATTAATCACATTTACATCTTTCCTCTTCTCAAATAAACTCAAGATACATGGATTGCCTAACCATTCAAAAATCTTGTGAGGATGGTGAGACTGAGAAATTGTGACCAGCCCAAGGACACCAAGTGGGTTTCCTGGGTCAGTCTCCCAGACACCAGCCCATCACACTCATAAAACAGGAAAATATGCAATGCTAATTCAATCAAAAAGAAGAAAGAAATGTTCCCAAACTATCAAACAGCAACCTTATCAACAGCATGGGAGGAATATAGGGAAAAATATCTAATCTAATGGTCTGTGTAATAAGCACAGCATGATGACTCCTTTCTCTGACTCTAAATTAACAATATACCAAAACTGTTGGAGCAATTAGGTAATTTTGCCAAAGAGGCAAAAAAAAAATCTAAATTAGTAGTACAGATTCAGACTAGATCTACAAGGAAGAGGGAGGACTACGGAAGTAGTAAGCAAGCAGGAAATATCTAAAAATAAGCTGAGATTAAATGGATTCAACGCTCCTGGAAAACGGGAAAGAAACTGAATTTGGACGTTACATACATACAAGAAACCCATATTTTTTAAAAAAAGATTAGAAATATTTGGAAATGCCAAAATTAGGAAGGCTCTTCGCTGCATCAGACAACAAAGAAAAAAAGAGAGGGGTGGCAACATTTATAAAAGAGGATCTGAAACCTAAACCAATTTTTGCATCACAAGATGGAAGAATATTGATTGTAGAAATTCAAACAGGGAAAGAAAAAACAATGATAGTGATTATTTATGCTCCAAATAAAAATCAAAGTACATTTTTCAAAGACCTACAAAAAGAATTGGCAGATAAAGAATACAAAGATATTTGCTCTGCAGGGGACTTCAGTGCAGTTCTGGATAGAAAACTGGACACAAACATTCAAACATTAAGAAAAGGAAAAAAGAAAGTAGGACTATATTATCAAAAAACCATCCAGTCTATAGTAGAAGAGTTCCATTTGGTAGATGCATGGAGAGCAACACATATAAAAGAGAAAGATTATACCTTATATTCAAATTTGCATAGGACATGGTCTAGAATAGATGCATGCTGGATTCCAATAAGCTGGATAAACATGATGAAGACTATAGACATACTACCAAGAACTTTTGCTGATCAAAGTCCAGTTATTTTACAACTGAATATACAAAATAAAACATAGTTCTGGAGAATGAACACTAGTCTTTTGCAAAATGAAGATTTTAAGAAAGAAGTGATGCAAGAAATGTCTTGGTTCTTTAAGGAAAATAAAATTCCAGATGTACCAATGAGAGTAGTCTG